TAATCTACCACAGAGTCCTAACAAACTATGAATGCTTGTCAAATGACGAGCACAAAGAAACTTCAAAAGCCCCTGTGCTCCAGGACATTTCTTCTTTTTGGGTCTTTGTAGAGGACGGAATTGAACATTCATGACAATGAATTCCTATTAGTGACCATAACTTCATTGTGCTTTTTAGTCCATGATGGTCTTGCCTATATCTTTTTTTCTACAGTGAAAATATTCGAGGGTTGGCTCCCCTCTTACATTGTACATCCATCTTAGTATACATAGTGAATCCATCTTAACTGTCTCCCAGCATCATTCTCATACCTACATTTGTTGTGAAAAAGCTGAAATATTGATGCTGTGGTGGGAATAGTGTATATTTCACATGCTAATCTCATACATTTTGCAATGTCCATGCATAAGGATATTGTGTCTAGACTCTAATTATGTGTGGGGTAGTTAGAATGACTTTTTTCCTCAGTTTGAAATCAGGTTATAGAAGTCCAACAAATGCAAATTCAAATAGCTGATGTTAGTAGATGCTTTATCATGTTTGTTTACTAAGGTTCATTGATTTGTTGACTGCAGGCTTTCTGTTTGTTTTAAGGAAATGCATTATGGATGCTCATCTGAATAAAAAGCTGTAGCCCAAAATTCTCTGAACAGTGTTCTAAAATTACACATAATGTTGATAATTTCTTACCCAATATCAGCTGTGAGATGCTCTTTAAAAAGTTCTCTCTCGCTTCTTTTTAGGCATTAAGGGACCGAAATTAGCATGACCACTTGATGTGTTTAAACCCATGGAACCTCTGGGAACTGTAGTTGGAGTCAATGCTGACAGTTTCAGCATTATTTTCCACTCTATGCCTTGGAGGTGCATTGGAGTCCAAATGTAGGTAGTCAGCCCATGGCAGAATTACACTTACAACAGATCTCTCATGAACATGTTCCTAAATTCATAGGATTTACTGTGGATTACTGGGTATCTAGAGGCCTGTTTTAATCTCCCCGCTCCTCCCCACAAACGTGTAAACATCTCCAGTTTCCACCTTAGAAATGATGAGTAGGGAATTCTGTGGGGAGTTTATTTATGAAACTTGCATCCAAGTGCTCTTGTGTTAGAGAGAATCATTTATTTTGGAGCATTTAATTAAAATTAGAGTTCAAGGTACACATCCTGGGTCTTATTCAAATGACATGTGGGCCTATGGTGGGAGATTGTCAGTGGTGGACCGCCTGCTGAGGAAGACCATGTGAGCCCAATCCTGCATCAGATAAAGTAACTGAGTTTTACTGCTGAGCTCAAGGAATGAATAATTGGACCTATGTAACATGACAGAAAATTTATTGGCACCCAATATTAGAAATTGCAATTCAGTTGCCATATTGTTCACATCGAGATATATCAGAACAACTTCACCAAAATCTCAAATGTTTTGTTTAAATATAAAAAGGTTCTGATTTGTGTTAAAGCAGCGTGCAAATTGGATTGTGCTCTTGTACCTTTGGGTTAAATAGTGTTTGTTACAAACTGTCACTATTTAGCAAGAGGTCTGCAGGCAGCAAAAAAGACAGAGAAGCTAATTTTAATGAAAAAGTTCATTACTAAACACTTTGACAGTAGGTTCCCCCTCCCCATTCAAATGCTTAGTTTTCTGGGTTTACCAAAGTCATTCCAGCTTTCCTTTAAGCTTTTAAATATGAAGTGCATGTTTTATAAGAAAACAGCACCTTAAAACTTTTGTTGTGGCATGCTCATGGATTAAGAATTATTTTGGATTTGATGTTTATTAAAATGCAATCTATATATAACTGTACATTCCACTACTTGGGGAGCAGTGGCAAGGACACTGGACTGGGAGTTGAGACACATGGCTCTCTTCCTGGCTCTGCAAGTTGACTCCCTGCATGACCTTGAGGAAGTTAAGCTCTGTGGCCTTGTCAATGCACAAACTTGCATAGGTTAACCAATCCAGTGCAAAACCCTTTGTGGATAATTTTATTTATTTAGTGGCTTATTTCAGTTTAGTTTAAACCTGTTCCTAATCAATTTAAATTAAACCAGAACAAGACTGGCTTAAGATGAAATGAGTGTCCACACAACCTTTTTCCACTGGTTTAACTAATCATTTTAAAATCACACTTTTAAGTTTGACTGATACAACTCTAGATGTAGAGTTAACACTGATATCCCATTGGTTCCCTACCTATAAAATGGGGCAATGTTTCTTGCCTTTTTAAAGGTAAGATAAAAAGTTCTACATGAGTTCCAAATTCTCATTATAAAAAAACATTTGCTTTTAATTAGGTTTTTTTATTTGAGTTTAAATATCCACAGGCTGTATGGCTTTCCTAAAAAAGTTATGCTTTTCAGTTTATTTCAGATTCTGTGCTTTGTCAGTGTGGAAAGTAAGAGTCAGAATGATGTATGGTCAGTCACTGCTTTTATCAAGGTCTGTGCAGACAATGGAAGTCAGACAGGAATGATTGCTGTTGGCAATGTAAAGAGCAGATTCCGCATGCTTGTGTGTGAAGGCAATAGCAAATGTTCAGTAGTACCCTGTTGAGCTGATGATACATTCCATGTGCAGGTTAGGCCTTGTTTAGTATGTGTCTCGCTACACAGCAGAGTTGACAATATGTACCTATGAAACCCATGGCTTTAAGCATCTGTTCTGACTCCCTTTCCTATAGCCCAGGGTCTACCTACAGCTGGAGCAATTTAGTATGTAAAATAGATCTGCATCAGGTGTTAAGACTGCCTTTTGCTGAAACTTACTTCTCACCTAAATGATACTAGTAATAGCAACACTTCGGCTATGTCTACGCTGGCAATTGAATGACACAACTTTGGTCTTTCAGAGTTGTTAACGCACCACCCCACCCCACCAAAGACACAACTTTTACCACAGGAAGTGTCAGTGTGAACAGTGTGGTGTTGGCAGAAGCGCTCTCCTGCTGACAACACAAATGCCACTCGTTGGGGGTGGAAGATTTTTGTCGGCAGGAGAGCTGACAAACAGCAGCGACACAGCTCAAGTTTTAGCAGCATGGCTGTAGCAACACAGCCATGTTGCTAAAAGCTGTGTAGTATAGACAAGCTTTTAGTGTTTCAAAATGAAATAATGCCAGTATTGCCTTTGTAGTTCTAATGTTTTGTTCAGGAAGCAATTAGCCAAAGTACCACTTAATATACACTAAATCCAAAGTAAGGGAACTAAGTGTATTACACAACACAAATTACAGTTTGCAGAATTATTACACAAAACACTGCCCTAAATTTATGATGGTGGCAGAGTTTGTGAATAACCAGTGTCCATAACTAGTGAACATAGTAAAATTAACAAGAGATTTTAAGCAGGTATGTATGCACTTAAGAAATGAAATGCAGCAGCATTCATACCATGTTCTTTGCTAGAGATAGTGTATGTCAGAGATAGCTATCTTTTGGATTATTCTTTTTTAATGGAGGTAGCTATCTTTGGATGCATTCCCTCAATAATAAATGGTGTCACAAACACAAAAGCAGAATTTAACCTCTCATAAACCTTTATAGTATATGATAGCTGACAATGTTGGTGGGGTGAAGAGGAGGAGATGAGAGACCAGAGTGGATGTGCTGGTGCATTGTACTGTACCTGCAGCAATTTGGTCGAGTTCTCCTTTTTTGACTATTTTAAAGCGCATTTTAAAATACTCTCTTTTCTTAAACTTAAAACCGTGCTTTTATTTTGAATTTGTTAAAACTACAAAAGGATCTCTCCACCTTCCCTCCAGCAAGAGGACTAGTGCATCCTTTGGGTATGTACGATAAGTGAGAAATGTATCTCTATCACTAGAAACTACAGAATTGCAGAATAGGATAGTTTCCATATCTGAAAGATGCACTAATCCTAGGAGGCAGTTCTTAGTATCTATTAGGTTAAGAGGATGAAAAGTAAAGATTAATGTCTTTATGAAGCTTTCACTTTTGAATTGTCATGCATGGTTGTCTGTTTGAATGTTTCTGCACTTTATCATGGGCTTATGAACTGTGTGTAGCTTTAAAAATATTTTATTCGAGAGGCTGAGTATATCAAATCCCTCTTGCAGGATTCTTAGGAGAGCTGAATGATGTAGTGTTGATGTTAGATGCTGGTGATGACATCAGACATAGACTATTGCCCACCAATGTGTGCAATTGCCCACTCAGTAGGGTAGTGTAGCAAGTGTAATTTGTCTCATGACTAACCTTTACCAAGTAATTGCTTGACAGACAGAATAGAATAGAAATCATACAAGATGAAATTCACCTCTTAAATAAAAAGTCTGAGTCCTTGAGCCACCATGTCAGTAAAGTCTTGAAAGGTCAGTAGGGAGGAGACACAAAAGATCATCCCTTCTGCAGGGCCTGGTGCTTTCATGCAACATCACAATGACTATTACTACAGCTTGTGGCCTGGCCAAACAACTGCAGCCCATCTGTGCAACCTGTCTGGTACACTTGTGGGGGCTGGATTGGTGTAACTGAGGATCCTGTGGCCTCTGGCTTGTGCCTGCTTACACACTTGCATTACTGTAAAGCCACCTTCTGCTGTGGCAGCATTAGAAACACTGTCAGTGGTGTGCATAGTGTGTGCAATCTACCTCATGGCTATTGTGCTTCCAGCCCCCTTGCATTATATCACCATAAGGCATATGTGTTACAGAAGGCTTTACTCTGGCCCTCTGCATTATGGAGAAATTCAGAGTATAAAGCATTGACATTTCAGAGCAAGGTAGAAGAAAAGTCCTAGTTCACTTCAGTTCGTTGAAACGTGCGCACTTCTTTAGTTCTAATAGTGAGCCATTCCTGGGGAGAGGGTGGAATGACTTCATGATTGGCCAAAACCTTTGGGTCTCTGAGAGCTATGTATTGCTATTGTATTGTATTAAGTGGACATTGAGGGTATTAGATGGAATTGAGCTGTATACAAGGACATATACGTACATGTACTTACACAATTAACATGATATGTTTGTCAATTCAGGTTGCTGCCTTGAAGTATATACCATCGGTCCTCCAAGATGTTGAAACAGTCTTTGACGCCAAGTTACTTAGGTGAGCTGCTATTCAACAGCATTTTGTTAGATCTGCCCGATGTTGTCTGCATGCAACGGTGTCAGTTCTGTCCAATACAGATACCAAGCCAGATTCTTAGCCTCTATAAAATGGCATAGCGCCGTTTAAATCAATATAGCTATGTCAGTATACACCGGTTAAGGATCTAGCTCATTTTGTTCAATTTGAAGCATCTGTCATGGGTTGTTTACAATGAATATGGAATTAACATAGTCTCGGCATGACAACCAAGTTCAGGATCTATTCAGGCTGTATCCTCTCTGTACTGTTGTACAGTTGCAAAACATGGACATCGTGCCACTCACTGGGCAAAACTGGAGGCTTTCCACACACAATGTCAATATCCTATATTGGGCATAAAATGGAATCACTTAATTTGTAAAACAGGTGTTTATGTCCACATAACAGAGTACTGGGACTGTTGTCTGAAAAGCGTAAGATGCTATCTGCGTACATGTAGCAAGAATGCCACAAGATGTTTGGGTGAATGTCATTCTCTGGGTGGCTAGCAACATCCAGGAAAATTCCACCAACTGAGGGTTGGAAGTGGCCCAAAGGCAGAGCCCCTATTACATGGGTTCATCAAGTCTGTTCTGATGTTGGACTGTCGGGCCATCAAGCCCTTGCTGTCATGCAGGAACGGACCAAATGGCAAGCCATCACTATGGCCAACTGTTTGGCTAAGCATTGAAGAAGAAGAATATTCTAGATAGTGAGTTGTATTTTTCCTTAAGAGTGTATTATAATACAGTTTAACATCTAGGCCTACTTTTCAAAAATGTGTTCAGTGAATGGAATTAGCAAGTAAAGCAATGCACTTCTGGAGAATAAGTGGCACTACCAAAAAGGCCACAACTCTGGCTGGCTGACAATAGATGTCTTCCTGATAGATGACAGAAGATTTGTTGGCCAAACACTGCATTGTATTGTACGTGTGCAATGGGAAAAAATGGCAACTGTTAATCTTTGGGCAAAAATGCCCCAACACTTAGTTTTTCTCTCTTAACAGTTGGTCTTTCTCCCCTGATAGTCTTAATACACAACAAAATACAAGGAAATGTATTGAATACATTTGTTAAGCATTAGAGGTATTTTAGTAATTACTGCTCTTGCTATCTATTAGCATAAGGAATTAATCTAAATTGTATTTCTGGTTTCCCACTTATCTGCAGCCAACTACTGTATGAGTTTTACACTTGCATCCCACCAGTAAAACTACAGAAGCAAAAAGTGCAGTCCATGAATGAAATAGTACGCAGCAACCTCTTTAAAAAACAAGGTAAATCCAAATTGTCTTCAGGTTTTAAACTAAATGTGTATAAGATTGACAGAGTGGCTTTAATCTCTCCATAATTTTATTTGATATACGGTAGATAGAAGATTTACATAATTCTTATAATTCAATCTGTAAAAGCAGATTGAGGTGGCTTCTGGTTGATCCTTTTGGCCAAGACAATTAGTTTGCAAAGGCACGATCATTAGAACAGAACAAAGACTAGACAGGCCTGGGAAGGGTTATTTGTGAGTGCTTATTTTAGTGGTAAAATGTGAAGATTGAGAAACCTGTTGTGGCCACCTTCAAATCCATTTTTTTAAGATGTACAAAAATATAAGAACATTTAGAAGTAACATTTAAAAAATTCTGAAATCACTTCTGCATATGGGACTTAAGTTCCAAAGTCAGTTAGATGCTTTTGAAAAACTTGCCACAAATGTTTGTCCAATACTGGGATATATAGGTCTATTTTGGGAGTGGGAGGCCAAGGGCAGGTGAGGGAAGAGGAAATGAGAGCAAAACCTAGGGTTGCCTGGTGTCGGATTTTTAACCAGTCAGCTTTGCTGACCGGGCCATTAAAAGTCCAATTGGTGGCGCAGCGGGGCTAAGGCAGGCTCCTTGCCTGCCCTGGGTCTGCGTGGCTTCTGGAACCGGCTGGCATGTCTGGCTCCTAGGAAGAGGGCTGGCTGGGGGCTCCATATGCTCCCCCGTCCCATGTGCCGGCTCTGCAGTTCCCATTTGATGGGGCCGGCATGCACCACGGGGAGCCGCCTGGCTGCGTCTCGACCTAGGAGCCAGAGGGACATGCTGGCCACTTGTAGGAGGCACCTGAGGTAAGCGCCACCCGCATCCCTCACTCACCTCCTCCTGCACCCCAACTCCCTCCCTCACTCCAACTCCCTTCTCCAGCCCTGAGCCCCTCCTGCACCCCAACTCCCTCCCAGAGCCTGCATCCCTCCCATACTCCGAACCCTTTGGCCCCAGACCAGAGCCCTCTCCTGAACACCAAACCTCTCATCCCCAGCCCCATATCACAGCCCTCACCCCCAGCTGGAGCCCTCCCTCCTGTGCCCTGACCCCAGCCTGGAGATGACCCCCCCATACCCTGAATCCCCTCACTTGTGGCCCTACCCCAGAGCCCACACTCACAGCCCAGAGCCCTCATCTCCTTCCAACCCCCTGCCCAACCCGGTGAAAATGAGTGAGTGATCAAGAGTGGGGGAAAGTGAACAACAGAGGAAGGGGGGGGATGGAGTGAGGGAGGCTGAGCCTTGGAGAAGGGGCAAGGTGTGGGGGGCAGGGCAAGGGTGTTCAGTTTTCTGCAATTGGAAAGTTGGCAACCCTAGCAAGACCAATAATCACATGAATGGAGAAACCAGGTCATGTCCCTTTTAAAAGGATAACAGTGTTATGACAGCATTGATAACACTGTGGGGTTGGGAAAAAGGTGGGGAGGACACTTCTAATAGACTGTGCTTCTAACATGTGGGCCTGCCACATGTGAGGGGAGAGGGGAAAAATAACCAGAAATGTAAAATATTCACTTTCATTACCTGCAGCAACTCAGCTGAATTTTTTCCTGAGTATAAAATTATTGATGGGTTGTCCCAAGTGTTTTTATTTGGGTTTCTCTCTCTCTCTCTCTCTCTCGAATAAATCTTTTAATTAGTCTATTTGAGTCTTCGGAGAAATTGAGGTTAAGTCACTGCTGTACGTTCTTTTTGCCTTCGTTAAAGGGGAAGATATTCTTTGACTTTGCTATACTAGCAAATTTAATCTCTTTAAAAAAAGAAAAGGAGTACTTGTGGCACCTTAGAGACTAACCAATTTAGTCTCTAAGGTGCCACAAGTACTCCTTTTCTTTTTGCGAATACAGACTAACACGGGTGTTACTCTGAAACTTAATCTCTTTAGTTCACCCGCCGTGTAGTTCCTCCGCAAGAAGCTATAATGGAAGCTACCGAGCAGGAAGGGCTCGGTGGCTTTTAACACTGTCACTTACCTCTGTGTTAAAAATGCCAGTGCTCACAACAGCCTTGTCAGTGCTAGTACTCCCACTGTTGCTACCACAGGTGGGAACTTTTTGCCAAAGGAAGTATTGTACATCAGGCCTAATTGACTGATTGGCTTCATTAACCTCAGCTCCAAGAACTTTGCCTCACTGTACAAGTAACAAATAAGGTTCTATTCCATACTTTGTAGGAATAGCTAAGCTTGTTGCTCTCTCGGCTTCATACTGGAGCCGAGCAAGCCTCAGTAACTTGGAAAGGGCACCTAGTCTGCTCCAATGAGCTGCTAGTTGCTCAGTGTTCCCACTTCTGACAATTTATAAAACAAATCTGTCATGCTCCTGGGAACTTGACAACAACAACAGTGACTCTGTATGGCGTTGTAGAGGAATATGCCAAGAGTGGAATGCTTTTGCTCATCACGTTGTACAAGGTTCCCAGAATAGTCATAGGCACAGATTTAAGCACTATGGACAGATGGAAATGCAGCACTGTCATAGAGCTTCTATAGGGTGCATGCTGTTGAGGGCAAGACTTGGATTGTTAGCTAAAATAGTAACAAGATACTTCATCTAAAGTCCATTGTGTTTTCAGGACATTGGGGACTGTTTAACCAATTTAGCAATCATGAAGTGTTGCATATCATGAAAAATTTTCAAGTTTTCTATGCAATATTATGCAGTCTTTAATCAGTACTCTTGTTATTGATTTCATGCACTTAGCCTTTGATTTTTGAATACTAGCTTATCATTAAAACCTTGCATATTAACCAAATCAGCACCTTGTTCCAGGCTATTAAATCTAAGTGAAACAGCATCTAATCTACAATCAAAGGTTTGTGTACATAATTGAACTGCAGTAAATATATCCAGAGTGATTTAAGAAGTAGCAGTAGTTGCAGACAATTTGCCAGAAACAAAAACTCTTTTGGCTAGAGATGTTGTACAGAGGAGTGCTTGTAGGAGGCTGCAATGAATATGAAAGTCTCTTTATCATATTTCTAGTTGGTTGTATTATAGCTGGTAAGTCACAAGTTACAAAGCCAAAAGGAAAGTGTTAGGATAAAAATGCTTGTATGGGAAGGAACAGGTAATGTTACTGACGAGCAGTATAGGGAATATGCTGGGTTAACTCCAAGAAATTACTCAGTGTAAGTATATTCAGTATCTGTGTGCAACTGAACTGAGCATATAGGTGTGGGGTCTACAGAGATACCAGCAAGCGGTACACAGCACATCAGGCTGTGAAGATTTGAACTCCTCCTCATCTCCAGGCAACACCAGGTGTTGCCAACTGTGACAACATCCAGAGATTTCAAGCAGCAGCACCCTAAATCTAATTCTGATCTTACTGAGGGTATTACTTGGTTCAATCTGTTTTCTGCCTAATGCTTTTAGCTAAGATCTATTAGAGTCTCCAGCCAAATATTTCCTTTGCTGGATAAACAGAGCTCTCCATCATTCTATTCCAGCATATTCAGAGCCAGAGAATCAATCCAAGTATTTCAAACCTACCGTGGGAGGAGAGTAGCTAACTGACTCTTAAAATAATCTTTTAAAGGGATATGAGACCTTTAACTCCTCTGTATTGGGAGGATTCCTCTGGGGCTAGGCATGTCAACCTTCTTTTGGGTCTGTTATAGCAACCCCTCATACTGATTCAAAGAAGGGCACTTGATTGAGTATGCTCCAGGAGTAAAAGGGTTAAGGGAGCATCCAGCATTGTACATCATTCTAGACAGGATGTGACCTAGGTGTAGCCATGGCCTTAATCTCTATACTCCTCTTCTGTGGGTTTTGGGATGGGAGAGTGGACTGCTGCTTTTAAGCACATGAGGTAAGGGCTGCCAATCAGTGCCTCTTCGCTCCCTGGTGTGTTACTGGCAATTTGCTTGGGGCACAGGAACCTCAGAGAACCTCCTTTCCTTCCCCTGGCAACATAGTTATCCCTGTAGTAACATTAATGTGGCTCTTGGTAGTTTTGTGTAGGATCTACATGTTGTTAAAAACAAACTGTGTCATCTGCAATGCTTAATTTAAAAAGACGACGACAACAACAACAAAAAAACAAAAAAACTTTTAAACTCAATGTGAGCTTCACCCAGAATGGTGAAATCAAAGTCAGCCATTATAACCACCCATCAAGTGTATTTAGTCAATTCAGTCAGTTATCTTGAGCACAGAGTCCTCTTTCTCAGTGCTATTTGAGGTGCTGTTTGTATGAGAGACAGTGTTTTGACAATGCTAAAATGAGCTCTGACACAGCGTTCAAGCAGAAGCTTCGATGCTTGAGGCTGGTGAAATGAGTAAATAAAGTTTAACCATGGAGAGGATGTTTGTTGTTTATAACCTCAGTTGCCATCTCTTTCCTAAATTAATATCGTTGGCATCTCTCAAACAGCTTTCATATAATAATGCTATGGCAAAAGTAGTAATGAACTACTAGTTACGAATTATTTATCCGAACACTTTTATATAAAATTCGGTATAAAAAGCATTAAACATAAAGATTCTTGTCTGAATAATTCCATATGGTGTGGTGTGGTGATGCATCTGGATGGTCATTAAGGGCATATCTACGCAGGAACACTCAGGAAAGTTAAGGTGAGTGAAACAAAGCTGTGAATTAAAAGTGCACTAGTGGATAGGTAACAAGGGCTCTTTAATTCTTCAAAAGGCCTTCTGAAAACTGCTGTCAGTGAACAAACTTCTATGCAAGGCATAGGTTTCTGCCTTTTGATTGTCAAAACAGATTTTCTAGATAGAACTCTTTTTTAACTCTTTATTTACTCTCTCTTACATGCTTTCTAATAGTTTGGAGAGATGCTCATTATGTATAACGAAAATCCCTTATCTGGCATATGTTTGAACTGCATTAAGTGTTTTGGGCCCTTTGCATGTCACATCAGGTTATAATCACTTTTTTTACAAGACCTGTACAACTACTAACGAAAACGGCTTTTAGGCTTCAGATCATTTGTTTCTTCAACCTTGG